AAGTCTAGTGAACAACATCCTTTGAACTTCAATAGAGTAGTAAATAAAATTGTTGGTACCTTTATGTAGACAGTGCAGTGTGGTAAGTTGCCACAAGAGGTTTTCCTTCACAGCATCCTCAGCTAACAAATGGATCACTGCTGCACTCCATACCCGGTACAAAATGGGAAATAATGTCTGAATAGGAAAAATATCCAAACAAAAAGTTCCTTTACCGAAAAAGCTTAAAAATGAATATTAGCACCACTTACATGACATGCGCATAGTCAAGCCTTTTGGGCATATGTTCCAAACCTTACCTTGAACCCACCTATAAGACAGGAACACAGATTTAAAGTGGATACAACTTTGCCACTGCTTTATTAAATTATAAATATGATAAATATATAAATAATAATTTGGGTCATTGCCATACATTCCCAAGTTCAGATAATACGTACTTTCCCCAATTTTAACAGTACTAGACCCACCGGCAATGACCCATAATATATCAACAATAACATATAACAATACATAATTAACATGGCCACAACAGGTCTCATCCAATTGATTTTCGTAGTAGGGGCATACCGAGACACCCCTACCACACCAGGCTGAGAACCACCTACGGGTTCCAACCTACCAATTTAGATAGTAGGGGCATACCGCCGACATCCCTACCCCACCGGGCTGAGAACCACCTGCGGGTTCCAACCTACCAATTTTGCTTGCAGGGGCATACCAAGACACCCCTACACCACCAGGTTGAGAACCACATACGGGCTCCAACCTACCAAATACCAAATTCAACCATGTAAACGTTGTTAACCAACCAAACATCCAGCTAGCAAAACTACGTAGCCTCCAATATCTTCCGCCACAGCTCAGGGCTTGACCCCTCAAGCCACCTGAGCGCCCCAGCCCCGCATAAACAAAGCACGCTGCAGACCTTCCTGAAAACCCAAATTAAGGAAATCATTACCGACTTCGGAAAGGTGCACCCCATCATGCCGAAAGTAACCAGTGAGCCTAGCTTCCAGATCTACATGCCGCACAACAACTCCCCCTATATGCATAACAAAAATGGACAACCGCTTGTTAACAACTGCTTGTTAACTTGTCCCCTTGTTAACTTGTCCACTGCTCCTAGACACTGCCGTCTGATCCCTAGCATGACGCCAATGGAACCGGGGCCCCATTTCCAATCAAATCAAAATTTCCCCTGGCACAAGTGCCCTCAACCTGTCTTAATCCTGCTTCATACAGTGCACCAACTCCCTCTAGGGCACCCACCCCAAGTCATTACCCCGTGCATGAAGCAGCAGAAAAGCCGGTGAATGCCCTTAACCCAAACGCTTGAAAATTTCTGAGCAGACTTCCGTCCAGCAAAAACCCCTATAGCCAAACCACAATAACTTGACCACGCGCTGTGGAAAGCCCACCTGTCCTTCTTGGGGTCGAACTGCAGCTCTCTTGTGAGCCCAATGGATGAATGAGTGGCCCACCAACCAGGCAACTCATCCTACGGAAGAAAAGAAACATGTTAACCACATGTAACCACAACGCATAACATCAGTCACTGTACCATTTACATTCAAAGTTTTTTTTCTTGGTTTTTTTTCTTACATATTACCATCCAATCCACTTAACCAACTCATCACCAAGGCGTCACCAAACTGCAGAGAATCCAACCCCAACTGGCCCAGGCCCAACCTGAAAACCCTGAAAAACTGGTATTTCGATAATGATGACCCATCCTCATGCATGAGAAAAGAGCCTGCCCCCTTGGGCGGGCCCGCACATATGCGGTTGCACAGGCAACCGGAAACACTGACGACCCTGGCAACTCATAAAGAGTGACCAAGCACCCTTTACTAAAAACATCAGTTTTTGAGCGCCTCAAGGTGATGACAATGCAATCCTGACGCACGTCAGCATCTTCCACCTGGATTCCTCCACCATCCGCTCGACAACCACTCACTAACTCACTGACCCGGAACGCCCCAAAGAACGCCAAAACAAACGCAAGTGAGAATAAAAGCACTTCATGGCAGGAATAACAGAGGCCTGTGAGCACCCCTACCAACTGCAGCAGAATCCCCATCGACACCGGCCTCCTGGGGTCAGGTGTCCTCCGACCCCAGCCCTTTAACGCTTGGCAAATAACAAAACTCTTAGTGATATCCTGCCAGCCATTCAACTTAAACAGAAACGCCAAGGCAGCCATGTGCCTATCCACCATGGAAGGAGAGGCCCCAGTTGTAAATAACCTGCACAAATACCACAATAGTGTATCCAACCGTACCTCAGCGGAATGATGGCCGCCCGCGCATACGCACACCTCCTCCGAAGCCCTCCAGACCTTAACATACGCCTTCCAAGTACTCAGGGCTAACAATTCCTTAATCAGGCGTCCAAGCATGAGGTCCCTAGCTGCCACATGTCGTCCGGACAGACCAGACTCTCCAACTGAGCCCCCGGTGCCGCCGCGCGGAATTTCTCCCACTGCAAACGAGACAGCGCGTCAGCAACAACATTCAAGAAACCGGGCACATGAAATGCCCTAAAAACAATGTTAAATTGCATGCAAAACAACACAAAACTCCGCAACAAGCGAATAACTGGAGTAGAAGAGGCTGACAATTGATTAACCGCGGACACGACCGCCATGTTGTCCGAAAAGAAGACCATTTTCTTATCTCGTAACCTAGGGCCTCATAAGGCCAACGCAACTACCAAGGGAAACAATTCCAAAAACTCCAGATTCCGAATTATTGGGTCTGCCTTCTATTCTTCTGGCCACGGTTCCGCACACCATTGTCCCGCAAAATACGCCCCAAACCCCTCACTTCCTGAAGCGTCTGTAAAGAGTTCCAATTCCTAAGTTTGAACCGTGGGCTCCTGGAAAAAGACCCTGCCATTAAAGTCCCTCAAGAACACATCCCACACTGCCAAATCCTCCCTCAACGGGATCGTAACCCTAATAAAATGATGAGGGGAACTAACCCTACACGTCGCCTTTGCTAAAAACCTATTGAAAACCCGCCCTACCGGCACAATGTGGCAAGCAAAGTTCAAATGCCCGAGCAAGGATTGCAGCGATTTCAACGTCACCTTACGCGCTGCCCTAACCTCCCAGACAGCCCGACGTAATGCCACCAATTTATCTACCGGCAAGCGACATTCCCATCCCACCGAATATATTTCCAAACCCAAGAAACTGAGACATGAAGTCAGTCCCACCATTTTGTCAGCCGCCACCGTTTTGTCAGCCGCCAAACACGTGGGCAACCCATTCCAGAGTTTGCAACCATACGCGACAGACCTCCGAACCGACGGGACGGACACAGAGGAAGTCATCCAGATAATGAACTATAAACCTGCTACCCGACTCCACCTTAACTACCCATTCCAGGAAAGTACTAAACTCAAAATACGCGCATGAGATGGAACATCCCATGGGCAAACAAAGGTCAATGAAGTACTCCCCGTCAAAACAACAACCTAACAGGTGATGACAGTCCAGATGAATGGGTAACAGACGGAAAGCCGATTCCACATCAGCTTTCGCCATTAACGCCCCTTACCCTGCGTGCCGAAACAACTCGACAGCCATGTCAAATGATGTATAAGACACCGAGCATAAACCCTCGTCAATGTCGTTGTTGACTGATGACCCTTTTGGGTACGAAAGATGATGTATGAGCCAGAACTTCCCCGGCTCCTTCTTCGGCACTACCCCCAAAGAGAAACCCAAAGACCCTCCAAGGGCGGGACAATGAATGGTCCCGCCATCCTACCCATTTGGACCTCCTTAGCAAGTTTAACTCGCACTACCTCCAGAAACTCCGCCACAGATTTCAAATTATGCAACCGACTTTCGGGACGCCGATCCCGAAAAGGAATAACAAAACCGTCTGTAAAACCCTCCCGCAGCAGCACCTCATCGGCCCGGTTAACGTACCATTTTAGCCAAGGCAGTATCGTGCCGACCTTCACCGGCGTTAACCCCAGCGGAAGGAGGGGCCGCGATAGTGCCCCCTCCTGTCGCCGCCTTTCCTTGTTTAAAGCAGTGACTGAAACTGTGCGCCCCTCCGCAACCGTTGCACTCATGTTTAAATCTACAAGTGGACCCCCACTTACACTGACCCTCATTGAACAACCAGCAGGCACCCTTCCTGTGTGAGGCCAACGAGGCGGAGGCAGAGCCCAGGCCGGCCCCCAACTGAAAAGGGGACATCGATTTTTAAGCCATCATGAGCTTGATCCACAAAGGTAGGTCCATCTGGTCCCACCTCATGCCAGGGTTAGCCGAGAGACGCTGCCGAAACTGCTCGTCGTACCGCCACCAAGCTAGACCCCCATAAGTCCTATAAGCCTCCCATATGCCGTCCAAATAACAAATAAGTTGTGAGCAGTTCTCCGGACACTTCTCACCTATCACACTGGCCATAATACAGAACGCTTACAACCAATTGCCAAAGGACTTTGGAATCTTTCTCTTCCTCCTCCTTTTTAGCATCCTTTTTATCCTCCTCCTTCAAATCAATGTACTCCTCCAATGGGAGAAGTGCAAAAATTTCAAGGAACTCACCCTTCCATATCCTTTCCTTCAAATCCAATTTTAAGTGGCAACTGAGCGGCCCCACGAAGGATACGTGCACATTCTGCCGTGCAGCATCAGGGATGCCACCCGCCAGCTCGGCGCGTTCGTCACTGATCTCCACACACATCAACATCGATGCCCCAGCCATGACTTCTGACCTTCCTGCTCCTGACTGTGCTAACTTAGGAACCCCAACACACGAAACCTCAGAACTTGGCTCCCAGACACACCCAAAACTCCCTGGCTGATTCTGCCCAGAGCCCCAACTATCTAAAAACGACTGAAGACCCTGTAAAAGGTTACCAGCCCTATCCATATTAGAAGACTCACCAGCCACTCCCTTGGCCGAGCGTGGGGGGAACCGTCAAAATTCCAAGGACCCAGGAGTTCTCGCCAACTGTCTGGGCCCCGTGTCCTGGGCCCGCACCCGGCCTGTGGAAGGATGCTCAAGTGACCTGTAAGGAGAAGAAGAAGACATGGGTAGGGCATCTGACTTGCTCCCAACCTGCCCACTACCCTGCTGCGCCCCCCCGAGTGGGACATGCGCGGTGCGTCTGTCGTCCTGGCCTTGACGGCCATCGAAGACCGCCAAATTGTCAGCTAGCATCCTGTCAGGGGAGCTCCTGATATCGGACCTAGAATCACTCCCCTTAGCAAGCGCCCGACCCGCCGACCAGGACGGCCGTATCTCCCCTGACCTCACCCTATCATCAAGCCCAACAGCGCTGCGCCTCCCGCCTGCAGACCTGTAATGCAAACCCCGACCACTCCTAGATCTGCGCTTAGCAATCCTACCAGCCTCCCCTAAGGAACTCCTACTAGGGGTTCTGGCGTTACGGTCCCGGGATCGGTGCGGCCCACCTTTCCGTACACGGTCGTCCCGACTGGGCCTGTCCGGGGTACGTCCTGTGGGGGACTCACTGCTGCTGCCGCTGGTCCCATTCTCCTGTCTACTCGGACTCATCCGCGGCATCAGGGGCCTACTCCCGGCAGTAGTTAGTCTCGTGGGGGGGCTCTGCAACCTGTGAACGCTGTTGACCAAGGTGCGGCCCTCCCACCCGTCGTCCAGCCCGAGCAGATGGCATGGGCGCTAACCGGGGCAAGTCCTTCCGTCCCTTTTTGGGCCTACACTTTCAGGAGCTGCACAAGTCCGGGGCCTGGATGTTTGTGGCCTGCCCTACAGTCCTAGCTACCTTCCCATGGCTCCCTGGGCCCGAGCGGTCACCTGTCCCAGTCACCCCCACCCCTTGAGGTAAAGGACCACTGGGGCCGACTCACCCGGTGTAGGACCGTCAGCGACCGGAGTCCCTCCATGCAGCACACTGCGATCTCCTCGAGCCCGCCATGGGCGAGGGCCGCTCTGACCTGCGATCCGCCACGCAGCCCTGCGTCCCCTGAGAAGGTGTCCTACCGTCCGCCGTGGAGCGCGGTGATACCCGGGACAGCATCCCACCATCCGCCTCAGGGCGCGGTGTCGCTCCGCTTGCGCCGGCAGCCATGCCTGGTGCTGGATCCTCCTGACCATGTGCCAGCCAGCTCCTTCTCCGGCCCCTCATACCGGGGCTCCCGCTGCTCGCCTCCCTGCTGCTAGCTGAACTTCCCTCCACAGGCCATGCCGAAGGGCTCCTCCTCTGTTGCCTCCTGGGAACTGCACTGGGGCTCAAACGTTGGGGCAGCCTTGTCCGCCTCGTGGGCCACCGTGACGGTGCCGCAGAAGGCCCAACCCCTGGATCCATTGATGTCAGGCAGTCCTGAAGCAAGCGAGTCCTCTCTCACGAACCGCTGACCGAATTCCTTCCATCAGAGCCTCCATGCTAGAATCCATCTGAAAAACAAAGCAGAAACCACCCAGACCTGCAGCACACAACAACAGGTAAGTGTGATTAATTAAAATGGCTTCTCATCTAAGATGTCAGTTATTCATATCTGGAATCCAGTTATGGCCACACCGCTTGTGACCAAAATTCCTCCTTTCCACATATGCCCGCCTCCTAGCTCTGTCAAGGCCCACTCCCCTTAGCTGCGCTGTTCCATGGGCTACATGACAAATGATAGGCTACCCCACTGAATGCATAGAGAGCAATGTAACAAAGAGAACAGGTAAAGTGTAGCTATTACTTTCCCTCACTCACTTAGAACATTTAGATTAAACTGTTAATTAAATAACTGAACTGGGTATATGGGCCTCATTATGATATAAATGGGATGGTACAGCCACATAGGTCTCTCTACCAGCAAGTGTTACATCTAATCTATTTATTTGCACAGTCTGAAACTGAAAAAGAAAACAATAATTTGTTTTCAAATATATACCTTAAAGTTTACAATGGCAAAAAGAAGGTTATCTAGTCAACTACAGCTGTCCCCTAACTGCTCACCCCCTACAACCTTCCTTTGCTGTTTTTCACCTACTGTGCTCCCACTTCCCAAACACGCCTCCCATCCTCGGGCACACTCAGATAACGTAATTCACCCTCACTCCTCTCTGTACACTGATGCCTCATCTCCTCAGATTATAAAGTCGTTTTGGCAGGACCATCTTCACTTACTACAGGACACTCCTCACCATATGTGTTTTAGAATTATTTTTATTTTAGAATTAAATGTCTGTCTTGTACCTGTGTTTCCTACTGTACAGAGCTGCAGAATATGGCGTAAATATATAAGTAATTGTAATTGTATAAAATATGTTTCTTGTTTAGAACTGTTTTATTTCTTGATGGTTCACCTCACTTTGTCTGGAATCTATGACCAGAGATATGTATTTATACAGCAATTTTTGACGTATTTAATTTGGAAATTTTTACTACCAAAGATAAACACATTCCTGGTTGTAGAATCCAGCCCCCAATTTCTATTGGCCAGGCAATGTTTCTGTTGGACTCCATGAGATCTGTATCTTCAAGGGATGCAAAGTTTATTGCATTTTGCAGTGCATATCTTAGAAAGACAAACTTGCTACTTTGGGAATAATGAGATACTGTTTCAGAAACTGTATGAAATATAAAGATAACATACCTGAAAGTCAGAGAATGGGCTGCAGTAGAAGAAAATCATGTAATAGTAGATACAGTTTCTCTTTAAATGCTTGTCTGCTAAGGAATGCTAATGACTACCATTTCCCCTTAATACCTTCACCTCCTGCAAGGCATTGATTGCTGCAATGTTCTCAAAATTACTTTTTTCCATTCCGTTTTCCTTGTGGTTTGTAACCTTTCCATTCTATTCTTTCAAACCAGCAGCAGACTAAAAATAGAAACTTTTTATCTGTATCTTAGTCACCTTATATTTTTTCATCAGCTGCCATTAAAACAAACACACTTGACGTTTGCACAACATGTATGCTGTATGGATTATCAGAAAAAACTTATACCGACACTTACTTTTGGAAACAGACAAAATCTAGATTGTAGACTAATAAATGTTTTTTACAGCATCAAGGCACCTGCAGGCAGATAACATTGACGCACATGCCTGAGCAATACGTACACCTTAAAGGGTTAGTCTAAGCACCATAAGTGCTTAGAGTACACTTAACTACAGCTGTCTACCAGACAGCCACTAGAGGGCTTCCTGGATTGAAACAGACCTTTGGTCCGGTATCTGACGCTGGACATCTTTACGCTCTGCATGAGGGAGGTCCTATGGGGAGGTCTAATGTGCGCAGGTGCATTAGACCCTGCTCGTCGTGGGACGGAGGAGGGGGTTGAACATCGACCCAGCACTAAGGGACATCGACTCTGGGATCAGGTAAGTAAATAAAGGATTTTTAACCCTTTATTTAACGGTAAAGGGGGATGCAAGGGAGGAGGGAGGCAGGAGAGAACTTTGTATTCCTGGCACTACAGTATCCCTTTAATATGCTGCATGCAGGGGGTATAGCTGGGGGCAGTGGCTGGATAATTGAGAGTGGCCCTGAAAAACTCCAGGTCTAATTTTGCAACCTATTCATCAGTAGCCCAGTAATTTAATATAATACAATTTAATGTACCATTATTTATTTATACTGCACAGTGTGAGGATATTGCTGCAGGTACAGGGTTTTTGTTTAAATTATGATGTGACTGTCTATGAGTTATCCTCGTAATATACTACCTCATGATCTAAGGCAGGCTTCCCCAAACTCTGGCCCTCCAGATGTTGCTGAACTACAAGTCCCATGATTCTTAGCCTATCTATTTCATTCATAGAATCATGGGAGTTGTAGTTCAGCAACATCTGGAGGGCCGGAGTTTGGGGAAGCCTGGTCTAAGGTCTAGTTCCAATACATTAATCTTAATCCTTCTATAAACTGGTTGTATAGCAGATTCATGTGGAGCTCTACAACTGTGGACTATCCTACCAAAAAACATTTAAACCTTTCTCTTAATGTTTTCTACCAAAATTGAGAATAAATATTTTTATTTTCATGTATTTTACAGTATGAAATGCAGTCCACAATGACTCACTCACCCTCAGTTATACTCTAGTAGTGATTACTGTCCTGCAGAGAGCTTAATTTCTCTGCTGGAGCTACTAATCACTGATATAATGCCTGCAAATTTGCTGAAAATTTAAACAAACCCCTTGTTTTAAAACAGGAAAATAAATTTCAATGTGTCATATCATTCCTACATTCAGGGAGGGAGGAAGAATGGACTCTACCATTTCCCTGTTAGCATTACATTATCAGTCCAGAGAATGAAAAAAGATTGTGATAGCCATTTCAAATATATTTATATTAGAAATATATGATTTAAAGAAACAGTTTGGGCATCTTAACAATTTTGCGATGTTCTAAGTTAAGAACCAGAGCAGTTTTGACACTTTTGTGGTGTTTGTGTTTAACTGTAATTTTCCTCTTTCTCATTTACGTTTCCCATACAAGTTATATATTGTTTTTTTTCAGGACAAGAAGGGCTTTCTTTACATACCATTATTTGTATCATGTCATATATTTTATTTAAAAAAAAATAAATAAAATATGGTGAAAAAATGAAAAAAAAACATGTTTTTGGACTTTTACTTGAAAAATCTTTTTCTTATCTACAAAAGCTAATGAAAAAAACTGCTAAATAGATTCAAAATTTTGTCCCGAGTTTAAAAACACCCAGTGTTTACATGTTTTATTGCAAGTTATAGGCCTATAAATACAAGTAGGAAACTGCTGTTTCAATATATATATATATTTTAAATTTATCAATAGTGACATTGTAACACCGTTATCTGTCATAAATCCCAGATTCATACCTCACATGTACATCTTTTTTTAAAGTAGACAACCCAGGGTATTCAAAATGGGGTATGTCCAGTCTTTTTTAGTAGCCACCTAGTCACAAACACTGGTCAAAGTTAGCATTTATATTTGTTTGTGTGTTAAAAATGCAAACAACGCTAACTTTGGCCAGTGTTTGTGACTAAGTGGCTACTAAAAAAGGCTGAACATACCCCATTTGCAATACCTTGGGTTGTCTTCTTTTGCAAATGGTATGCCATCATGGGGATAATTCTCATTCCTGGGCTACCATACACTCTCAAAGGCAACCTAACCAATCTGACAAATTTCAATAATAAAAAAAAAAAAAGTAAAATGAAACCTTATATTTGACCCTGTAACTTTCACAAACACTATAAAACATCTACATGTGGGGTACTGTTATACTCAGGAGACTTCGCTGAACACAAATATTAGTATCAGAACAGTAAAATGTATCACAGCAATAATATCATCAGTGAAAGTGCCGTTTGTG